AAGAGCAAATTATGTAAAATTAAGGAAAATCTCCATGTAATTTCAATGAGAAATGTTGGTAAAACTTTGAAATTAAATTACTAATTTATCCCGATGAATTAATATAGGAAATACTATACCATTTGATTACTTAATTATCCAGCTACATTTTAGTGAAAACAGATTAAAAATTGGATTATCCATTAAAAAATTATTTAACTTTTTCCTGTCCCAGATAGATTTGGCCAAAGTAGTATATACACTATATTAATTCATATCAGCCCCACTTAAATCACTTCATAATTAGCAGGTTAAGATAGCATTGTATATTTAAATGCCACTGGTAGTATATTTCGTTAGATATATATCTTTGATCAATGTGTTTAGTGCGTACCTAATATATTTTATCAATGTACTTTATTTGATAAATGCAATTGGGTATGTTTCACTGTTATCTAACATGTCCATTGCTTTATTGTAATGATATAATAAATTTGTATTCACAAAACATATATTTTAACAACTTAATAAATAAAAGATTACATTATACTAATAACAAGTTAAATTTATATTTTATATTTAACAATTTATTTTAAAATAAACGTTTTTGTTAATGTTATTAAATGTATGTTATATAAATACGATTAAACCATTGTAAAAGAATTTTACTTAAAATATGACTTATTAATGTGGGTAAGGGATTTGATTAAAGTAAATTTATATATTGTACAGTACTGTACCTTGATTCTAAATATTAATTACTAATTTAGGTTGATTATCTATTTTTTAAAAGTCAATCCTATTATTTGTAATCAGGTCACAAAACATCTTTAAAATAAATTTTAAAACATAAATTTCTAAGTTATAATACTCGTTATTATATTACCATGGTGACCGTTAAACATTTAAGTTCAATTTTGTTCGATTATTTTATTGATATTTTTTGCAATACAAAACATATTGCAAACTATGATTTTTTTGTTTTAGTTAAAAAAATTATTTATAATATATTGTAGGTCAAATCAACTGTAGGTCAAATCAACGAGTCCCATTCTACCTATGCCCTCTTCTTCTTTCTGAAACCTGAGCCGTTTGCCAGGGCCGGGAGTCGTTGATTTGACCTACAAATGTTGACTTGGCCTACGTTGATTTGACCTAAATATGTCGTTATTATATTGTTACCCCCTAGACACAACTCTACAACGGAATATCGGATTGAAGCCGGGTTTTTTGCATTTTTACCCCCAAGACAACATTAATGTATTTTTTATCAAATATATAGATAAGTTTTTAATACAGAACAGCACTGTAAATGCAATTACATTTGAGTTTTGGTATAATATTAAAAATTCTTTTATTTATCTCAATATAACACAATGTTATTTTAAAAATATTACTCATTTTACTCGGAATTACGTTCAATACTTATATCGATATAGAAATGCTTACATGTCTTAATTTCATGAACTATACTACGCTTACAAGAGATCCCAAAAACTTGAAAATTTGAAAATGGTTTACGAACGACGCCCTTTTTCTTTAGACAAACAACGAAAAAACAACGTTAATAAAAGTTACCCTTTTTAACTGCAACAAAATTCAACATAATTTTATAAACTCCACAGTAATAATCATTTTCTATAGAAATTCGTTTAGTCTTTATATACTCTTCAAGCAGAGATTGGAATAGCTGTTCACATTATCACATTTCACATATTTTGGTGCAATAGTTATAAAAAGATAGATAAGCTTTTTAACTCATATACTTATTTATATGTATTGTATATGTACAGTATATTCATAGATTTACACCGAATGTGTTGAAAACATAATAATGTTATAATAAAAGTCTCAGACTGACTTACCTGTTTCAGTTAAAGTATTAGTAAGTTAAAGTACTGGTAATATAATAGGAATTTGAATCAATATCCAGGTTTCTATGAATCATAGTACGGATATATTTACCGTAGGGAACAGTTCTCTCTAATTGTAATAATTAACTGTTCGCTAACTATGTTAAGTATTTATTTAGTACCCATTGCGGCCACCGGTCTCTTACATCTCTATATATTCTCAACGTGTTTAAAGTTTAAATTCATTCAAACGTTTGAAAATGTTTCACTAAAAACTAAATCAATAGGTATTATAATATTGATTAAAATGATAGTTAATATAATGCTTGAAAATGTGATTAAATTTATTTTAATTTTGTAAAACAAATTTTTCGCTTACAAAACAATTCAATGAAATAACATTACAGTATTGTAATATAATTCATATAATCATATTTAAATTTGATAAAATTTAGGACATATAGAAAATGTTTCACGGTCAACCTGTGCATCATTACTCGCTACAGCATCGACAGTTACCAGGGCCACCATAAATGCCTCGGGCCATTCCGCGTCCATCGCACAGTTTGCTGCATATTTCTTGACTTCCAGGATATAATATGTTTAGATTTCCACCAAGGTCGTAGCAAAAGGCGCTTGCATAATCAATGGAAACAAGCGCTATTAGCAGAATCAACACGATCACTTGCTTTGACATTGTTCTTCACAGCTTCACAGATTTATTTTACTTGGAAAGCGTCAAAAATGTCCAGGCTTATATAGTGTCTTGATAAGACATTTTTATGATCCGTGAATCATGGTTTTATGGTATTATCTGCGTGAAATTCCAAGTATTATAAAAAAATGTGTTGCTATTTCAGGAAATAAATGTAAGTTGATAAATAAATAAAATGCTTAATATCCTAACATATAACTGTATTTTTTTTATTATATTTGTCTTGATAGTTCATTAAACCATGTATCAGTATTTTATCATTTTTTAGATGCAATACATAATTAAATCCATATTATTAGTATGCGCCAAAAGTATCCGGAAAAAAATTTAATATATTTTTTCAAATCTCCAACTATCTTTTTTTTAATTTTATGGGTTTGAAAAAAGTATGAGTGCACCAGAATCTCCATCTATATATTACTGGCGCCGACGTATCAAACCACCGACAACTCAATGGCCACATATGTAAAAGGGGTCTCAATTGAAATAATGGATACAGATCGCCAGCAGGTGACCGACGGGGTTGTCCCCTCATCACCCGAACCTGAAAATAAGAGACGATTTGCATTCCCGAAGTGAGTGCCAATCAACAGCTAATTCAACATTTATTAACCAATTTGAACTTTGATATTTTAATATTTAGAAGTATTTTAGAGTATTTAGTCTGAATAATTTTACTTTTCCACTTGTAACAATTATCAGTATATATTTAGGCGTTTTTTTAGTTTTTGAATTTAGTTTTAAAAAAGAATGTTTTCATAAATGTTTACTCAATAATTAATAGAATATTTTTGTTTGAGAATTATTTTGTAGTTAATTCAATAAGGACAGTGTGTTTGGCCACAACTTACCGGTTGAGTTCTACACGAATTTATGTACCGATATTTTCGGGCCTCAGATTACACCACAAACCATACGCAAAGCAATTGACAACACAAATGCCTATTACGGGGGGTATAAACCCGTTGTGACAAACGTTGTCTTCCCGAATGGAGCACTTGATCCGTGGCATCCACTCAGTGTACTCACAGACATCAATAACAGTACCAAAGCGGTCATGATTGAGGGGTACGCCCACTGCGGCAATATTTATGCCTCCAATCCCTCCGATTCCCAGAGTTTAAGAGATGCACACAATTTGATTGAACAACAAATCAAACTATTTTTGAAATAAACATATTATTTAAGTTTGAATTAATAAATAAAATTAATCTAATAATTATTATTAATTCATTAAAATAATATAAATAGAAAATATTTATAAGAAATTGATATTTTGTTTTAAAATTGAATAATATACCCTGATCATTTAGTGCTAATACACAGTTATTAACATAAAGTATCGATAAATAACTTTAGACTTAATACAGTATTAAATACAATAAAATTGAAATTATTGTATTATAAGTAGTTTGCGATAAATACAATATTACGAAAAAATGGTTCAATTTTATATTATTATTATTATAATTGTCAGCAGATTATTAGCAAGGACAATTAGGACAACTGCACCTACACCGGGATCACAGACTTTGATTCACAGCATAAGGTACTTTTATATGACTTACATACTTTATAAACAAGGTAACGTCAACCTTTATTACAAATTAAGACAGTATTTCTGAATACTTGACCATGCTAAAATTACTAGAAGTAATAAATACGGGACTCACCTAAAAGACCTAAAACCGAAAAGACCTAAACTCAATTAACTTACTGACCAGTGGTCGTTTGACTTAATTTAGGTTAGGGTAGGTTAGATGAGGTTAGGATAAATCTATTGCACTCATCAAATTTAAAATACGACCACGGGTCAGTTAGTTATTTTAGTTTAGGTCTTTTGGGGTAGAACCAATAAATACACTGTCGCCACAATTAACTTTCAACTAAATAATAGTAACAATAAATTAAAAAGTTATTAATTTGTCAAACAATTTTATATTGTATGTAACATATTATGCTAATTAATTTGCTTATACAAGTATTTATTTACAGTAATTATTATATATTTCAAAATTATAATATTTATACTAAACAATAGACTGTACATCTAAAACTAACAATATTGTACTAGATCATTTTCTGCTAACATAAAGTACAGTATCAAACATAAAATACTAAATATTTTATAGATTAAATGTTTGCAATAGTATTCTTAAATAATATTGTATATAATTATTCATAATTTATCAAACGTATGATACACTACATGGGGTCCTACATGTACAGGGTGTACTAGTCATTTGTCCAATAAAAAATGCATAGGATTCAATATAAATTTTATTTTTGGCAAATCGACTCTGTAATTATGATAATCTTAGAGTATCAATTTTAATAATTTTATTTATAAGTACTACCACTTACATACTATATATATCGACCATTAAATATTCTTATTATTAAGGATGTAAAATTTTAACTCAATAAAACATAATGATAATTTTTAATTATAAAAAGCCATGAGCATATATGAGATATTTTATGACATGGGTATAAACAGAATGATAACTGGCCACAATATGCAGTAAATTATGACCTGGCTACTAATCTTATTATATCTACATAAAACATTATTGTTAATTTTTAATTTCCAAATTTGATCAAAACCGACATATTTAAATTTTCTCTGAAAAACTCATCAAGGTTTATATAATTTCTTTAGCTAAGATACTAGTTTCTAGGTCTTACATGTGCTTGTTAATCTGCACTTTAACCGGCATAATTATCTGTATTAGTATAAGATATATAAAAGTTTGAATTGTTGTGGTCAATCATCGGATGTGTTCAACAAACCTAATTTACTCTTACACCATTGCCTATTAAGAGGTCATCTAAAATCTTAAATTATACTATATTTGATAGGCTTTCAGTCCCACTATTATATATTTTCTTACCATTACCTGAATTGATGAAAATTTAATTTAAAAAGAAATAGTCAATTATTGGACAAATGACTAGTACACCCTGTATTTGATACTCGATGTGCCCAACATATAGCCATATAGAAAGTGGTGAAACATATAATAATGGAGCATGTACAAGTACAAATTTGTACTATATTATAACTAAAGTACTTTTTACTTTTTAGACTAAAACAATGACTTATAATAATAATTTTCTAAGAAATAATTAATTATCTCTAATATGACTACAAAAGAAACATGTAATCAATATTTTAATCAATTGTTTAATCCAATTATAGAGAGTATATAAACAACAAAATATTATATAAAACTTTTAATTTAATTTAATTTTTAAACATTTTTATTTACAAAATAAATATTAGATTAAAAAAATGAATTACTATTTAGCGTTAATAGTAGTGTTTAGTAGTTTTTACGCCAATAGTTATGCCATTAATGGTATATCTATGTTAAGCGGACGACCCACTGATAGGCACGGGATGGTAAGACCACCGCCTCAAGATTTATATGCATTTTTGGCGGCACCTCCTAAACAACATTACGACCAGAAAGTGGATCATTTCAATGCTAATGATAAGCGCACTTTTAAACAGGTATTCATTATTATTATTATTCAATTATCAATTATTCACAAAAATTTAATTAATGTTAAAGTTAATAAAATAAATTGTATTTATTATTATTATATTAAATAAAGTATATATTTATAACAAAGTAAACATTAAAATACATTTAAGTAGACTAATAATATAATATTGTTACTATTTCTATATTTATAACTCTTATACTTTATAATAATAATTATTTAAAATTTACTAATAGTTATATATAGTTACTATATATAGTTATATATAGTTATATAAATTTACTAATAGTTATATATAGTTACTATATATAGTTATATATAGTTATATAAATTTACTAATAGTTATACTATACGGAAGATACCACTATAAAACTGGTGGACCAATATTTTTGATGATTGGTGGGGAGGGGGCGGCCTCAACAGCCCTACTAACCAGCATGTACATGGCTGAGTTAGCTAAAAAGTTCAACGCATATACAGTGTTGTTAGAGCACCGGTATTACGGAGAGTCTGTACCCGTACCTGAATTGTCGACAGAAAACCTGAAATACTTGTCGAGTGAACAGGCGTTGAAAGACACCGAAGAGTTTATATTGAATTTGAAGAAAAAGTTGTCCCTCGAGTCCAATAAATTGGTGGTATTCGGAGGATCGTGCCGGAAACCTCGCCGCTTGGTTTAGGGAGAAGTACCCCAACATAGCTGTCGGTGCGATCGCCTCATCGGCACCAGTGGAGGCGGAGGTCGACTTCAAGGAGTATTTAGGAGTCGTTAGCACAGCGTTAAGCAAACAGTGTTCCGACAATATTAGGTAAAACATAAAGTTTTATAACTTTATAATTGAGTTAACAATAAAACCCAAACTTGCCGTTCATTAGGAAAGCGTTCAAACAGTTGGACGACGAGCTGAAGACACCGTCAGGTGTGGCCAACATTAGGAAACTGTTCAGTTTGTGCGACACATTCACGGGAACTAATGCTATGGATGTCCACTATTTCCTGCAGTCGTCAGTTGTGGGTCTTGAAAGGTATGTTCAGTACAACTCAAAGGCACAGATGAATCAGGTGTGCGCTATCGTCAACGATGAGAAACGCGGGGCCACACCCTTGGAAAGGTATGCCACACTATTCCAGGTGATGCCCGGCCAGTGCCGGTCCATTCAGTACAAGGACTTTGTGGCCGGACTGAAGGCCGACCGAAGTGGCTGTAAGTTATTGTCATTAAAAATAGTTTATACGATACAGAGTGTGCCACAAAAAAAACTTCACTATCCCTTATGCGACCCATACTTTTTACGGTTTAGTTGTAATAATAACAATATAAAACTAATCATTAGTTTGGCAAACACTGTATTAATTGTAATACATGTAATTATAATTGTAATTATAATTGTAATTGTAATTGTATAGATTATTATTATATAAAAACCTTTTTTATTTATTTAATTCATTACTTATATTATAATAAATAGCGAAACTGGATATATCAGACGTGCACTGAGTTTGGCTACTATCAGACCACTGGCCATAAGGACAGTGCGTTCGGTGCGAACCTTCCCGTAGAGTTCTTCACCAATTGGTGTACCGATGTTTACGGACCCGAAATCATGGCCCAAACCGTACGGAAAGCCGTTGACAATACAAACGCCTATTACGGGGGATATAAACCCGTTGTGACAAACGTCGTGTTCCCCAACGGTTCCAACGATCCGTGGCATCAACTCAGTGTCCTCCACGACCTCATCAACTCAACCAAATCTACGGTAATTGATGGGTACGCCCACTGCGGCGATATGTACGCCCCCACCGGTGCCGACATCTGACAAGGACGCACACAATCTGATTGTACAACAAATTACTGAATATTTAAAATAAGAGCTCAATTTAAACACAATTTAAAGCCTAACTTTAATTTAATTTGTAAATTAAATTATAATTAAATTTTAAAAATCAAATAACAAAATATAAAATTTATTTTTAATTATAAAATCATTTCATAATTAATACTTAATGTTAAGTATAGTTAACATTGAAATAAAGGTCTGTATTATATCTAGAAGTGGTTTTCGATAACACAATACAAACACAATATTAAGTTAAAAATCACTTTCACGTTATTATGCTAGTTAGCAAGGACAATTAGAACAATAGCACCTGCACCGCGGAACACAACATAAGGCACATTATTTCATATGACTTGAATGTAAACAAGGTACCACCAGCTTAGTTCTAAGACATATATTTTAATTATCGCATATTCAATACATTAAATAGGGAGTCGTTGATTTGACCTACAATGTCGTTATTATATTGTAACCCCCAAGACACAACTCTACAACGGAATATCGGATTGAAGCCGGGTTTTTTGCATTTTTACCCCCAAGACTCAACATTAATGTATTTCTATGGGGTTT